GCAACCCAATTCCTGCGAGACCCATGCCAGCAGGCATCATATCCTCACAAAAAGCAACGCGCTTATGCTACTTTCTACTCTGAAAGTCTGAAAAGGACAGCCCTACTCGTGTTCAATGCTTCGCACTGTTCACACTCTAACTTTGGGTTTTTAGGGGGTGGGTTTAGGGACTTTGAGTTGCTTGCGCTTAGGCTTCGGGTTTCTATTGACTTGGCATAGCAGCCGCGCAGCATGGCAATTTTTATGCGGTCTTCGATCTCATCGTTTCGCCGGGCCAAGTGCCCCAGGGAAACGTGAAGTGCCTTTTTCGTTTCCAGCGGTTGCTCCATGCCCCTTATGAAATAGTCGATCAGCTCTTGTAGGTTCAATGAAAACGCCCATGGTTTCCAAAAGCTGTCACCGGGGTCGATGTTGGTCACACAGGCCATCATGGCGGGCTGGCTGTTGGATTGGTCGATGTATCTTAAACCGCTCAGCTGACCCTTCTACTGTTCTTTGACAGGTAAAGTTGTCCCCTGGTCCTTATAAGCCCAAAAGCTATACACATCTTCAGCCGAGTCAAAGATAGGGTAACCTCAACTTGGGGTGCCATGGTTAATGGAAACAAGGACTCCAACCCGCCGCCGGGTTTGAGTTTGGCCACCCAACTGGCGAAGCTCGGGCCCAAACCTGCCTGTGGCGCTTTGGGAGCCTTTGGCCTGGGCTATAAGGCGATGCCATGGTGAGATTTGCGCGAGGACCAGGTGGTGTTGGCTGATGTTTTTATTATTATTTTTTAACATGGCACGTTCCGAATCCAAACATCCAAACGCGCAGATGACACAGAGACAGCAGGGAAAACACACGAAACCGCCAAAGGATTATGGACGGGTTTGGAACAACTTGAAGAAAGCTGTTGGCGGGTCGCTGTCGGATGCCTGACTTGTGTCGGTGGTGATACACATCATGAAGAAGTTGCCGCTTTCAAGGGAAACACCAGGCCAGACATCCGGGGAGATGGCAATATTGGTGTCCCCCAAAACATCCTGCGCACCTCCCAAATTGACCACAACTGGCTGGTGCTCGGAAACCTCCAAATTGCAAAATTGCTCGTGGTGGCAGAACAGCCATCCCTTTCCTTTTCCTGGTCACATACTACTGGCCACACCCCAGGCAAGTCCCCTGGATTGCGGAATTTAGCGCAAGATCATACAAACAAGATCGACACACGCCGGTTTGGATGGATAAATCCCATGACTGGTTGCATGAACCACCAAGTCCAACATGTGGTGTGGAGTTTGTCAGGGTCAGAATGTGAATACGTTTTTGCATTTTCCACGTGGAAAACACAGCAGATGATATCTTCAGATTCTCTTTCATATTTCGTCTGCTCAACATGACATAATTCTGGAGAAGGCCCCAGCTTTGGGTTCCATGTCTTAAAATAGGACACCCCCCAGTTGCCAGAATATTCTTTCTTTGAAGCGGCAACAGGGCACCCAGAACCAACACAATGACGCAAATCCACTTGGTTGCTGTTGACCCCCTGCGAAAAGTTTAGCATTTTGGGTGGTTTAGTGGACAACCCAACTTGATTTCCCAAAAACTTAAAAGTCTAAAGATCCAACCCAGTAGTCAAGTCCATGTTGAACTGTGGAGAGCCCGTGCCTTACGTCGGCAAAAGCCAAAGCCATCGACACGCCTGGTTGGCTCTGGGCTCTCCTGGACCGTCTTGGCCTGGAAACGGGACCAGGCTGGCAAAAAGGGGTCAGTGGAAACGTGAGGTACCAAAAGATGGGGGGAAACCAATGGCCATGGGTCAAAATCCTGGAATTACCCCCAGTGAACATCAACCAATCCAACCACAAAAATCGGAAGTCTAAAATGGGTGGTGAATTCACCTAGCAACCAAAATGGGATCCCATTGGTTTTGACAACCACAGCCATATGGTGGGTTAAACATTTTTTGCCTTATTTGGATCTCAATCCCTAGCACCCGTGCCAGGCTATCCCATGACCGTCTCCGGCACCTACTGCGCACAACTGCGAGACTCCGCATGGCCCAAAAGCGGAACACCAGCACGTTGAAAATGAAAGCTGAAATGACCCCACTCCATGCATGATTTCCCTTGTGCTGCAAGGGCGCACCGATGGGAAAGGGCCAGCTACTGGGGCTCATTTCCATGTGGTGGTGAGTCGTAGCAATTTGGCAAATGGGGTGCCTGTTTCAGGGCCTCTGGTAGGGACGGGAATGTAGCCATGACTACTCAGGCCGACACAGGTCGGAGCTCGGCCGAGGCGATTGGTCTCACCTGTGCCAAGTGCAAGACTGGGGAACAACACCACACCACATTATCATTTAGGTGACCCTTTAGCGACCCTTTGGTGACATCAGCTTAATTGGTGATCCTTTTGGTGGAGATCATTTGGGTGGTTCCCGAAAAACATACAGCCACATGAGTATGTATAAATGGGGGACTCCCAAAATGATTGATTTTCATAGGGTAGGGGTAATGTAGGGTACCCTCCAAAAGACACCAAGCAACACTCAAGCACCACTCCTTCGATTGCGCCTGGCCCCAGCTAGCTGCCTGTTGAGCCTCAAGGATTGTGAGAGCCAACTCATCGTAAACTTTTTTGGGGTATCATCTTTGGAAAGAACTTGTACTGTTTTGAAGGCAGCCACAAGGAAAACCACAGTGTTTTTTTTTGGGGGGGTCTGTTATCGGTGTTTTGAAGGAAACTAAAGGACAACTGCCATGTGTTTGGCGGGGCTCCTATAAAAACCGGACTGAGACATACCCATATTTGGGCTTTACTACAACCCCCAACTTTCAGCCGTGTAGAACCATCTGCCAAAATGGCCCCTTGCCACATCAGTCAATGACGTGACTGTGTCCTTTTTGTGAAGCTACCCATTTCTTGAAGGGAAACCACCAAGGGAAGCCACTCATTCTGGCTTGGGGGGGTTCACCTGATTTGGACAAACCCAATTGTTCTTCAAACAAATGGGATCTCATAACAAGTTTGTCGATTACGTTTTATCGCAAAGTCCGAAACTGCGTAGATGGGGAAGCGACCTAACCGAATCAGATTCATCCTGACCCGACGATTGACTAGTACAGTTGAACAAGATTTCGCAGCGCCTATGCTGGCACACAAGGGTGGCTTGACGGTGAGGAGGATCCATGCAATAAGGGCGATTCGGCTAGGCAGAAAGCTCTTCGAGATGCTTTTTGCACCAGTTGGTGTTTGCAGTCAAACACCTTGGTTTTCAAATAAATAGAAAACGGCAAGCGCCACTTACCAGGGCCCCCCGATGGCCGGTAATTGGCGTCCCGGGTGAAGTGCCGGCAATTGACCAGCACTTGCTTAAAAATGGTTTTGTAGTCACATAGATTTTTTGCCATCGCCAAAGTGCAGTGCAGTGAAAGGTCACTTTTGCTGAAACGTCACTTGCGGATACCAGAGAGGATCCAGTGTGGGGGCGACACGCTGGTGGCACGCTCATATCCCAAAAAAGTGACTGTTCAACGTACATGTGCCGGCAATTGGCCACCCCCCGACACGCCGTGACACGCCGTGACACGCCGTGACACGCCGTGACACGCCGTGACACGCTCCTCAAGACCCCTCCCAACCTCAAATTTGCCAGCCTCCCCTTTCCCCTGCAACCCCTCCCCCAAAGGACCCTGGAAGGTTACTTGTATCATTGCGCAAATTGCACTAAGTACACATGAGTGAAACTTAATAGCAAATTGCTTTTGCAGTCACTTAGACATAAAGTGACATCGTTTTTCCCAAAATCGATGGTAGACTTGGATGCTTCTCCTTGCCATGAATGGATTTCCAGCCCTTTCGACTTCGTGCTTGAGTTTAAATGGGGAGTCCCTTGACCGAGTTGCCCCATTCACCCATCTACCAGGCCAAGGGTCAAACCCCAAAGGCCCCTTCCCCCAAGTCTCGCCTTCGACTAAGGCTCCCTGCCCGGTTGGCGCTGGACTCCCGGCTCAATGTGGGCGTGGGCCCATGGGAACGACTCGGCAGACTCCGGGAGTCCATGTGCACCGTGTGAGTCGCCAACCACCTCGGGCATCGAAATCGGACGCCGCGGACTTTTGAAGTCCGTTGGAATCCCCAGGAATTCCCTGGTCTTGGAATTGAACTCACAAGCCCAAACCTCAAACCTTACAAATCCACAAGGCTCCACAGTTTGGCAGCTACAAATCGGCAGACCAAAGCCCGCGTCGGGCCGGCGGGTCCGTCTGAATTGCGGCAACCAGCAGTTTGCCAAATGGATGTCCTGGCGTTGGTTGATTTAAAGGGCGCACAAAACAATGAAACATGGCCGCCCAAAACTGGGTGAAATGAGAATCCCGAACGAGCCTACATTCGGTGGGCCAAGCTTGCTTTATCCTGCGGGTGATGTCATTGTGACTCTGATAGCTTCCAAAAAAGATGGAAAGGCTGGGGAGGTCTCAGTTGCCCTGTGGATGGCCCTAGTGGATAAGGTGTTCCTTTAGTGTAGGCTGGGTCGTGTTCGCGTGGAATCAGGGAAGCCACATGATCGGACGGGTCCGGGTGCCAGATTCAAAGGCACTCGCCAGGACCGACTGGCGTTCCAGAAGCTCCGGGCAATCTTTGGCCACAAAGACAATCGCAACGCAAAAAGGGGGCCCTACTCGCAATCCTCTATGAATTTCCACGCCGAAGGACCAGAATTGGTCATCTTCCCACTTCACTTGCCAGCGAGTCCAGCTACCACTATGTATGGTAATCACCCAAAGGAAACCATCCCCGTCACTGGAAATGGGTTCCCTTCCCGCCCCTGCAATGGAAACGTGGCACCATTCCCCCAATTTGGCGCAAGGGTCGTGCCCCTTTCTCACCCTTGATCACTGTGCAGTCTACGTCGTTTGAACCCTTCGCCCGAAACCATGGCCCACATTTGTGGCAGAAAACATCAGCTTCAGACTCTTATTTGCATTGTACAATTGCTTCTGCTTCATATTTGGTCTTCCCTAAAAGATTGCATCCTTTCGGACCCAGAACCGCCTCCCCCCCCCCCCGGCCGCCCCACGCCCCCGGCCAATCCCAACCATTCCGCTTCCGGAGCGGCGTGGTTTCCAGCGCCGCCCGCGCGGAGAGCGGCTGGCGGCGCTTGTACAAGGCCCGGCCCCGCTGCCGCGAGGTCTTCCGCCGCCGCACCAGGCGACGCACCACCTCCTGCGAAGCGCTCGAAGGCGAGAGGCGAGAGGCGTCAAGGAAGATATGCGGCCATGGGTCCAAAATCCCGGTTAGCCCCCAGTGAACATCCCAATCCCAACTAAAATAGACTAAAATGGTGCAGCTCCCAAAATGGGATCCCATTGGCTTTGACCCACAGCCATGTGATCACTTTTAGGTATGGCTCAAAGTTAAAGAACTAGGGTTAAGCAGGTTTCCTCTTATTCTATCCGGAGGGAAATGCTTGCTCGGACGAAGGGACAACCGCCTGAACAGAGGGGATGAACTATGCGATCGCAGGACGTGTGCTCGGTGCCAAAACGGGCAAACTTGCGGCAAATCGATGGGCAAGACGATGTGGGGAGAAGCATGTGACGTTTCATTGCAGCTGTGAAGTGACCGTTTGTGTGGTTTCGGGCGCTGCTCCCTGCAGGATCACTGGATTTCCGCTTGAAAAGTTGATCAATTGACTGCTGGTTGCCACTAAAACTGCGGAGGCTCAACAAAAAGGGAATGGAGGAAGCCCGAAGCCGCCTCCAAATCAGCCCAGCTTGCGTCACATCAACTTCCACAGCCACCCGAATAGAAGCTTTCAACAACACAGAGCCTCCTGTGGTGTCCAGGGGAAACCTCAAACAAATATGGGGTCTGTTTAGCATCCAATCAATAGATTTCTCACCTTGGGCAATGTTCAACCCTAAACCTAGGAGTTCCGTCTTTTCTACCAGGGCAAACATGTACGACGAAACCTTGACCCAGTCGCCACTTCCTGTGTGGATTGGCAAAACGAAAGCCCTAGGCCTGTGTTCACCACCGAAGTGGTCTTCCTCAAAAGTATAAACTCCAGAAGCTGGGAAGTGAGACAAAGAACCTGGCTCTTTCGTGTGGATCCTCACAACAGCCATCCCCAAACGGTTGATCAAAATGATCCTCATGGGATGACCATCAGGGGAAACCCACCAAAGAAATGGCTTTCCCACTCAATGGGACAAGATACGCATGGTCATTTGGGGGCACAGCCGCCATCCCCCTGCCTGCCAATTCCATTGATCTAGTTTCCCCTCCCCCCAAACAAAAAAACATACAATAGAACCACAAATGGAGTTCCAGATCAAGCTGGCGATTTAACACCCAACCACTCCGTGCAAGATTTACCCACAGAAATGCCTTTACCCTCATGGGTCAAACATCTTGGCGTTGCCAATCCGGTGATGAAACCCAAAGTTTTCATGTTTGCAAAACAACAAACCACACATTTTACCCTCAGGTACCGCCGGTACTGCTCACGCCGCGGAGACCACAACAAGTCCAGCTCTACTCACATTTTACCCTCATGGTTCAGATATGTTTATATTTGCGACAGGCCCCAAGATCCGGTGATAAACCCAACGTTTGCCCTCATCCAGATCTCGGTGCCGAGATATCGCCTACCCTCCCTCCACTAACATGGCACCTCTGGCAGAATAACCTGGAAGATTGGTTTCCTCAAGGGACCCCATGTCTGGTGCTACTTTAGTTGGACGGGGGGTACATGGCTGTGGGTCAAAACCAATGGTACCATTTTGGGGTAGGTGCACCACCCATCTTAGTCTCTTTTAGTGGGGATTGGGATGTTCACTGGGGGCTAACCGGGATTTTGACCCATGGCCACATGGATTCTCCAGAACTCGTCGTTTCCCGCAGATCGCCTCCTCGCTCCGGGAGGAGGTGGTGCTCACGTCCGCCAACGCCGAGGAGTGATCCTCAACTGGATGGATTTCCCGTGGACCCCAAAAGGTTTCGAAGCTCTCAAAGTGGGCAATGTTCGGATCAACACCGAAATGGTCCACTTTTGGAGGGAAATCCAACCCCTGTTCCAGCTTGCCGTTGTTCTCGGCAAGCAAAACCCTTCAAAGCCAGATGGTCCAAAAAGAGGTCGCGGCCTCGGTTCCTTCTGGGAAGCAGCAGGTCAACCCCACTTCACCGTGCGGATGCCTCTTGATACCCGAGGGAAGCCAACGGAAGGAGCAGAATGAGAGCTGTTTCAAGGGAACCTAACAGGTCAGTAAGCCTATGCCACACAAAAGACAGAAGCCCGAAAGAATCATGATACCTGAGCATGTAAGCTTTTCACAAACCGGAAATCAGGAACCTTCAAGCGACCTTCACGGCGGACTTTTTGTTGCACGGAATTGGTGAGCTCGCCTTGACCAAACCATATAAGGGGCTAAAACAATCACACGTGCAGGTTTGTCTTCATGACTTCAGCTGGTGCTTATCATGAATTCTAGTAATTGGGTCCCCCCACCCAACCGCGTTGTAATGATATAGGCTACCCCAGATAGTAAAACCAAAATTAGAAGTAAAGAAGAGGCTGTTTAAGGGCGTCAACAAGTTTAAAGCTTCAACAAGAAAACACTGATCCCGTGAACAGGGAAACTTAAAGGAGCTTCTTTCACCAATACTGGTTTCAACATGGAAAGGGGTGGCCCAGCCCAGACCCTTGGACTATACCTCTTCAAACATGTCATTTTGACAAAGGCGTCAATGTGCCCCAACCAAGACTGCGGGGGGGACCCCACATGAGGAAACAGGCAACATGAGGGGTCCATAAGCCCGGCAAATGCCACGGACTCTAAGGGAAACCGAAACTCTGGGTGTCCAACGGTTGGTCTGATCTCTTCGCTTCCAAAATCAACAAGCAAATGCGTAGGACTGGATATTTCGACCATGGCAGCATGTTAAACTGACTTCCTGAGAGGTTTGGCCCAAACAAGTCCAAACTGCTTGTTCGCCGCTAAACTGGTCTTCCCAAGAGTATCAACGACCAGGAACTCAGGAAGTGAGTACAACGATCGCGACATAGCTCAACCCTGTCCTCTGGACTCCCCACAAAGGACCGCTCCTGGCGGCGAAAAATGAGCGGGCGGCGGGCGGCCTTGGGTGCTCTGGAAAGTAGCACGGCAGCCCGGCAGCCAAACAAAAACTGGCTTAAGGGTCCATGTACCTTGTGAGGATGTGCTTCGACCCGCTTTTGGCCCCTTAAATACATCCTCAGAAGGTACCAAGGAACCTCCTTTCAGTGATTTTCAGTATATTGTAGTTGTCTGCGTTCTTCAACATCGGATCCCCAATCCTGATCTGTAATCCCTGAACGACTCTATCTGGCTTGAGCAAGGATGGCCAGATGAGTGGTTTCCGTGGGCTTGGTATAAGCACACAAAGCAAAACCAACCATTTCGTATGAAGACAGCGTCGAATGCTTTGTTTAACCAGCGCCTATTAAATGTGTGTTCTTGTTTTGAGCAAAAAACACAAACCCAATATCTGTAGTCTTTTTTTCATTGTTAGACGCTGGGGAAGAATCAGTTGTCTTTGGACCACCTTGCCTTACCTTACCTTACCTGGCGTCGCGCTGTGGGTCTTTTTTGTACTGTTGATCGTGAAACAAGCCATGCAAAAGCCAAAACTTACCCTCCAGGGGTGTCTTTGGTGCGGGAATTCTGTTTAGTTTTTGTTCTCCCTCAGAAACCCAAGTCTTGGATTGAAATGAAACAACTCCGAAGGAACATCGCTGGACATAGAAACAGGGTTCCCGTGTTCCCCATTTTTCCCCTTGGAACACCATACGAAAAGCAAAGGAATTTGGACCTGGCCTTTCCAAAATAACATGCTGTGTGAAATATAACATGGAAACTACTGTTCACCAACCTGAACTGAGCATCCTGAAGTTGCTCGAATTCCGACAAGGGTTTACAATCAAATACGAGTCACAGTGTCAACCCAACGGGCCTCTCATCTATCGAGGGTACCGTTCTATTTTTGAAAAAGGAAACTCATCAAGGCTTAACAATTACATGTCTACCACCTGTTGCACCCCCAACTAAAAACGAGATACTTGATTCTGGTCCAAATTGAGTGAACACGTTAGAAACAACTTCATGTCAAAAGAGATCTCGTAGAGTAACCGCCCTTTCAGGGTTGCAGTCCCATAAGTTCCCGAACTTTGTTTGCCACTTCAAGTTCCTGTTTGTCACTATTGTGCAAGCTATTCTTGGAAAGTTCCTGTTTGCCTCTGAGGTCTCCTTTCGAGAAACCTGAACAAAAACCAAGGAACATTGTTCTTTGAAAATAATGGTTGGAATCAACCCAAGGAAACATAACTTCCCCGAAGAAGAAAAAAAAAACAGCACCTCCAAGCCCCGCAGCTCGCGGCAGAAGAAGCACCGCGCCCGCCCCACGCAGCCGCGTGAGGCGCTTCCGGCGGCGCCGCCGAGCGCCACGGCGCTAAGGAGCTGCCGCACGGCGTGGCTGCAGGCCGTGTGCGCCTGGCCCACGGGAAAAGGCCCGTCGGGCTCAGAGGAATTTCCGGGAAGGGGGGGGGGTCTGTTTGTGGCAAAAAAAAACCAAAGGAATGCGTTCAGGTGCTGAAATGAAGGTGTTGTAGGTTTTCCTGATTTTAAATGTTGGGGAACCTGGTGGTGGTGCAGGATTTCGTCCATCCACAGTGAGAAGGAGCAACCTGGACCCTCAAACTGCCCTGAACAATTGGTTCTGGCCCCAAAATTCAGGGGTGTCTTCCCTGTTTTGAGGCTAGGCGCAGGAATTTCGACTGGACTCGGGCCAAATCCCGAAGCACCCGGATTTCCCCCCCCCCTCCGAATCTGCGGCTTTCTGAGAAACATGGTAAACAAAAAAACAACACCCAGTCGACCAGAAAGGGTGGCAATCTGGTCCTTTGACTCATCGGTTTGGCAGCTCATATTTTGAAGCACCGATAAACCAATTCAACTTTGTATTTTGGTCATTCAACCTCGTGAGGAGCTTCCAAAAGTCTTTGATCTTTGCTTGCAAACATGTATATCTCTATCCCAAACTCCTTGATCTTTGGTTTCGAACATTTATATCACTATTAACACGTAAAATAACCATTTGCTTTGTTTTTGTTTGAGCAACAACACATAAACATATCATCTGCTCCTCCCTTCTCCAATTCCACCCACCCCCAGGTCTCCACCCGTTGCTCGGGCCCCGTTTTGCTCGGGTCTTCGGCCCAAAAAAGATCCGCGCGGGTTCCGCGGGTGGACGCCTCCAGCTGGCGCCGCAGCTGCCGCAGCAGCTGCCGGGAGCTCCGGGCCTCGCGGCTGCAGAGCTGCAGCGAGCTGGCGCAGCGCCTAACGACTGGATTCGCGTTGTTCTTGCTTTTTTTTGTTATTTAAATGTGTTTTCTTCTTTTGTTTCCCTTCGTTATTCTCTTGTTTTCAGTGCGCGGGATCTGTTTGTTTTTTTTTTTGGGGGGGGGGGGCGGGGCTGGCAAGAGGATGTGTTCGATTCGCTCGTTGTCTTGTTTTTTTTCAAACAAACAAAAATTTCAAACAAACAAAAAAAGAAAAAGCGGCACCACCTGCGGGCAAACAACCGTCCTTTTTAGGGATCCACCTTTTTTTGGCGGAACCAACCCAATCCGATGTGCAACGCATCAAAGACACTGTAGCCCTTCAAAAATAGCCCTTCAAGACATGTAGCTGATTATATAGCTCTGCCTCTTCACCCTGTTGTTTGTTTGACATACAAACCAAGAAGCAAGAAGGGTCACAAAACAAACAATCACCCGGCCGAATGAGTTGACCGGTTCGTCCTTGGTTATTGGGCGGTGTACCCTTGTGGGGTTGTTATAAAGTAACTTTAAACGGCAGACCAAAGGGGACACCTTCCCTTTTGAGAGTGTGCTGTTCTAAAAAACCAGCCACCCAGAGGTTTTGAAGGACCCCGAAAGGGAAACCAGCCGTTTCAGGTGCGATTTGTGCAGGGCGAGGCTTTGGCTTTTGTTCACCAATTGCCACGGGGAATCGTGAGCGAGCGAATCATTGGCGCTCGACTAGGCAAGTCGCTCTACGAAGGTGGCGCCTGCTCAAAAGATTGCGCTGGTTTCTCCAGATGGGGAGAAAAGTGCGTTTTTGTCGTCTCTCTTGTACGGGTTGCAACCGTGCGAGTAGCGGGCCGGACCGCCATCCTGGGTACCCTCAAAAAACAGACGAGCCACCCCAATCCGCGCAACCAAGGCGCCCCAGCTTCCGCACCGTGGCGTCGCACGCGCTTTGCACCTTCGCTGCTTTGGCGGGGTCCGGAAAGCGGCGCCAGCTGAGCGGCAGCGGCGCAAGCCTCGGGCTATGGGAGTCGGAGTTGTTGGAGCCCCTGCGGCGGTTGGGTGATCGGCGGTTGGTGTGTGGGGTCCTTGGTTCCGATGGGTTTGAGGCCAAAGGAAACCAAAAGGTAACCAACCAATGTTGAGAAACCCAAATGAATTGGTGTTTCCCAATACGGGTCCTTGGATGGGTTTGAGGGGAAAGAGGAAACCACCATCAAAGGGGTACCGACAAATTGAGATGTCTATCCCGTTGGATGGGTTCAAGTAAGCTCCCTTCGCATGCTACACACACTGACCTTGGTGAAAAAAACGTTGATCCCATGCTCGAGCTAAATCCTGCAAAAAAAAAAAAAAAAAACGTCTCAGGGGATGGCTGGGAACTGCCAAGTTGTCAAGGGGCATTTCAGCGCGCTCGCAGACGTTCGGCTCTTTCTTTGCAAAAGGCCAAAGGAAAACACGTCTCAAGCATCCGATGCAAACAAGTCTCTGGTAATTCCTGCAAAGGTTGAGGCAGTTTGTTACATGCTGCTAGCACGCTCGGACAAAGCAATAGTTGCTGTCATCCGCCGATTCCTGCTCCCCATCAAATTTCCCTAGGGCCTGATCAAAAGGGTCCCGCGAGAATTGACTGGGTTGGTCTTCCACCCTTTGGGACCTTGTTGCTACGTTCGGCAGGCAACGGTTCATGTTTCCTGGCAAACAGATTGAAGGACAGTGGATTTGCTCGCTTGCTGGTTGACTTGCAGCAAAATCGCATAACATAGCCATGTCCTGCTCTCTTGCATATTCGTCTTCTTCGTTCACGAGCCGCCAAAACAAGACTCGATTACATGTTGCTCAGAATGTGTAAACCACCCGAACAAGGGAGGGAGGCTAGTTGAGAGACAGCCAGGCCAGCCGTCCGAGCGTCTCCACAATGGCCTCATCTGGCTCAGCGCGGAGCTGGTGCTGCCGCTTTGGGTGGAAGAGCTCCTTTGCGAAACGCACAGATCTTCGGCTCGCCCTTGAAGAACCTCAACTGAATCTGAAAAAACATAACCATCCAAAACCTATCATGTGGTTGGGGAATGAATTGTTTGGGTCCCACATTTAGAGACCACTTGTTTGCCACAGGACATGAACAACTCGAAACAAGCTCCGCGAGCCATATACCTGCCAAGAAAGCTTGATTCGGTGGTTTTAACTTCCCCAGTGCTTCCGGTTACCTGTGAATTGGGAGGCCGGAACCGTGAAAGACGTGAGATTGGAATCTGGTTCCCACTTTTTGGGAACCGAGCTTGGTTCCAGCAAAATTGGTAACCACAGGCCAGTTGCCTGCGGTACAGGCAACCAGGAAGCACTGGGTTCCTGTTCATTTTCCCTGCAATTTCCTGAGTTGATACGACATATATATGTTTATAACCTGCCAACCAGAAATGTGGGTCTGTCATTTCTTTTCAGGGTGCCCTTTTCTCGCTGTAAAAGCGGAAACCAACAGGCAAAACCGAAGAAAGCAAGCTTCGTAGGTTTTCGGTCGTTCAACCTGTGTTTAGAACAACACGCACCTTCAAGCAGGCAATCCTCATAAACAAGTTTGTATCATGTGCCCTTCAAGTCATCAAAAAGGGGTCTCGTATTTGTGACACACACACACACACACACGGGTCAACTTGAGTTGCCACCAAATATGCATACTGAAAGCTTGAATATGAGTCAATAATTACCCTTCTAACATGAGTGAAGTAGTACCTCCCTGGCACGGAAGCTGACAAAAAAAAACAAAAAACAAAAAACTGAAGATGACTTTCCTCTTGGGGGCACTCGGTGGCTTCCCTGTCGGAGGCAATTTTTCTTCCACAACGGGTCGGAGCCATCCACTTCGAGCGATGTTGCGGCCGATTCGCTGCCGTTTCGCTATGCCCACATGCCCAGTGACGCCTTTTCCGCTAGAAGAGGGGAACCCTTTTCGGGGTTGACCGTTTTGGTGGGGAAGCCACTTCAAACCAGGGAAACAACTGGGTCCCCGCAGCTGGGGTGGGCTTTCACGCCCCGTTTCACCACAAACGGATGGGTTGACATCGGAATTCAGGGGTTCAAGCCCAGTAACGAGCTGATGGGGGCTGACTAGTACAACATCGATCACCATAGCTCCTGCGATTGATCCCTGACTACAAAGCTTTGACCATTGGCACATGGGCACCAGTGATACATGATTAGTACATGGGCTAAGAGGGCTCTACCCAAGAGGGCTCAAGCCCACGTCTTCCGCACCTATGGCTCGGATCTCAGCTCCAGGTGCCTCTCGAGTTTACAGCCAGAGAGCTTTTGGGATTGGTAAAATAGGCCCACTGCACGAGTGCAGGGGGCTCTTACCCTGATAGGACCTACACCTTATATCATTTCTCAAGCTTGCTGGTGCTCAGTAGTGCATGAGGGAATGAACCTGGGGATTCCCTTAAAGTAAAGGTTGGCTGGTGTTTTTTCCTCGGGTCATTCCATTTGTCATTCCGTACTGATCACCGGCAAGCACATGATTGATGGATGGATGAATATTGTACGCCACTCACTTCCAATGGCTTCACGCCACACTGCCCGACCAGGTTGCCGCCTGCTTGGGGCTGGCTTCGCATAGCAAGAGGGAAACAGGGCCGGGGCATATACTTGTTCAGGACAACACACACACAGACACAAGAGTGGTGTTTGGTGTTCTATTATATTTTACCTATTATTACTTCTGTTTCTGTTCTGCATTTCTTTTTTGGGGGGGGACATATCTTTCCAACTGGGCAGCCTAACAAGGACCGCCCAGCCCCTTGCCCTTGGAGGTCGTCTTAAGTCCAAAGTGAATCGGGACGCCTCCCCTTAACCTCGCCCAAGCGCCCGACAATTTTTGTTTCGCCCATTGGTCTCCTTGACGTCAAGCATTGCTGGCCCATTGCGCAAGTGTTATGCCACTGCCATGACACCTCTGGATGGCCATGTGCCGCCCACGTCACACAAATTAAACCGCTGAGTGCGTCAACAGGATTCAGGGCACCTCGAGACGGTGATGCCATCTTGATGTGCATTGTTTTGCTGCGTGCAACATATGACAAACCGGCGGGTAATCATGAAACACCACATGTGAACGCACAATCAACAAACACGCCTTTCACCACGACCCTTTTGGCAATAGGCTCCCCATTGGCTTCATTGCCACAATATCAACTTGCGCAAATTGGAAACCGGGGGATGCTCAGTGCATCGACGATGTGATTGAAGCCAAGAGGACAATCAAAGCGCACAATCTCGAGATGACATACGTTTGCATGGTCGTCTCCTTTGTTGAGGGAACTCCTTTTTGTGGTTTGAAAGGGAAACAAGGGAAAACCACCGTTTTGGGGGTCCCTAAAAAAGAGACACCCACATACTCATTTCCGCAAGTGTAGCCATGTCATTGGCGGTGTATCTTCCACCAGCTGTGGATTTGGAGCCCTGCGCGGCTTTCATCAAGGTCATGACCGGAAGGCGAACCTCGGACTAGTTGAACTCCTGATTTCAACCCCCTGCTCAAGCGAAGTCCCCCTTGATCGGAATCCCGAAACAAAGTGGCGGCGCCACGCCTGACCTAATAGCTGGGAGGGGTTCATGTCGTTGCAGGAATGCGCATTTCGTCGCAGAACTGTGCGTGCAGTGGGCCAACTTTTCGAAACCCAAAATCTGTTCATAGCCCTTGCAACTGTGGCTTGCCGGATGGACGCACCCTTCACCTTCCAATTTGGAGAGGAATCGCGACCCTTTCGGGGCTGCGTGTCATTTCGATGGCGCGTTTTAGGGAACCCCTCAAAATGGTGGTTTCCTTTGGTTCTCCTTCAAACCACCAAAAGTGGGGGGGGGAGGGAGAAGGGAGTACCCCGAAGAAAAGACAAACTCATGTGGTCAAACGGTGTGCAACGGATGCTCAACTCACTGGGACATGGAACCCCCTCGCGAGGCGCTCAAGGCACGCCCTTTTCTTCAAATCACAGATCAGGCACTGGCACTGCGGGGACATCTAGCCGCAATGCCCTAGGAGACCAATGACTTCCAGTTCCACTTTCGGTGCTGCACAACATGTATAACCTCGCACCAATAAACATTGAAGTGTACCAGTTATAGCCAAAGCCCTTGGAATCCAACAGGGAACCTCAACGGCACCTTGTCGAAACTGGAAGAAAAACATAATCTCCATCTCTCCCCGCTTGATTGACTAGCGCTGGTTTCAAACTCACACATGTGACGGTTGGGTCATCTACAAATGCCTCGGGGAAAGGAGGGGGAAAGCGACAAAGCAGGTGTATAGGGTGTGTATGTGTTCGTGCCTGTGCATCTCTGCGTGTGCGCGCACGTGTAATTGTCTCTTTCCGAGTATGTCATTTGTTTTCTTTGTTTGGTGTGGGTGTGTGTGTGTCCACGTGTGCACATGGGTGTGTATGGGCGCTACGTGCACGTGTGTCTTTGTGCATGCAACCACAAATTGACAACAAACTCTTCTTTTGAGGTCCCTCAACGGGGATATCAGTAACGGGGCCTGCCTGTTGGCGCGCATTTTGCGGTGAAACGGGCGACTCGTTTTTAGGATTGCCAGGGCTTAAGTATGCAGCACATCGGCAGCACTTGCGGGCCGAGTCCAATTAACAAGGTAGAGAACTGCATGTTCTGGAGCGTGTCAGCCTGAATCTGTGCGGAAGCTGTCAAAGCTGACACGACAAAGAACATACTCCATCCTTAACATGCTTGGAAGAGCTCGAATCAAGCAGAAACTCATGGAGGCGCATCGTGAGACAACTGGCGCATCCCACTTCGACGGCCAACTGTTCTTCGCCTCAGTGCCGCGATGCTGTGTCAGTTGTAGGTATGTATGTGCCAAGATCGGGGGGCTTTAAGTCCTTTTGGATTCCATTCAAAAACAAAGTGAACACGGCACCGTCCCCAAAAAAACAAACACACGTAAACGCCCGTGGGCGTTTGCGTGTGTTTGTTTTTTTCAATGTGTGGTGGCTACTTTGAAAACAGACCGGAAAGGAAGACGACCTGGGACGCCCATTTGTTTAAGTGGTTGTATATCCCATCAGTGGTTTGGGGCAACCATCTTGGAGAAACAGAGAGGCCAAGAATCTGTAGGATATCCCCCATTTTTGGACACAACCACATGGTTCCACATATGGTTGACCAGGATTCCTGACAAGTTCCCCTCAAACATCAACCCAACAGGAAAGTCACTTCAGAACGGCAACCCAACGGTAATGTTTCAATTATGTCAAAAGGGACATCGAGCAGGACGCCCCATGTTGGCCACTAAGCTTATGGCACTTCAGCTGTCCGAGGGTATCTTCCGAGGTCAAGAATATGCTTGAGGGTATGGCTCAAGGTCCGCGGCCATAAAAACCGCCGACGTTTGGGTGCTCAAACGCCTTATCTACGTATCAACTGCTGACCTTCGTGCCGCACCAAAAGAAGATGGACGTGACCAGCGTCTATCGGCATGAGCACAACGGTGAATTCCGAGCAAGGAGAGCCACAGGAAGTTCCCGGCCTTCCCTTGGCTCCGGCTATGCTCTGAATCAGTGTATGACTATTTACTGACTGTCTGAATGGGGCGGGCCGCGCTGCAGTCCTGAGTAAATGTTCATGTTGGATTGGCTCGGGCGAGCGTAATTCTAAGAAGGCACCCCGAAATCGATCATGACCCCAGAGATCAGCGGGCATTGCGTTACGTACTTGCCTACACAACCTGGCAATCAAAGGTTAAACTCTCGTGTCTATAAATGAAAGCTGGCGAAATGTAGAAACCCAACTCGTCAAAAGCAATCTCGCTTTGTGAGTTAACTATCAGGTCCATGGTGGTACAACACCACCCTTTCTCTGATAGCAAACAGGCATCTTCCATCCAACCATGACCACATTATCGCTTGAAATAGGATTGTCTTGGCCACTCACAGAAAGTGGCAACCAAACACCCAGATTGTCCCTAGGTCCTCCAGTAGAGAGAGGTTAGAATAAGGGTACCTTTTTTTCTGTAGTTTATTTGAGTAGGGGAACCCTCCCAAGCAAAACAGGGTAAAACTGGGGGAGCTAGGTCCACATTAGGGGAAACACTTCGAAGAGAATCGCTTCTGTATTTCCCTTCTTGGGGTTCCATGCCATGCTGACTTGCAGGGGACTACCCTTTGCAGTTGAACACCTCGGCCCCCTTTCGGTTTATACTTGGACCTAATCGGTACGACCCTTTGGCGTACCCAGAGTGGTACATAGCCGGGGAAAGAAACAAACAACTAGGCACATCAGCACGTGGGCTCCGCTTTTTGCCCGGAGGCACTCTGTCAGCGAGCTGAGTCGCAGCTATTTGTTGCCCTTCTTCTTGGGCCAGCAGCCGTGTCTTCGGAAGACGCCTGGGAAATCGGTCGTCTCCAGTGGAAAAGAAAGCCGTTGGTCTTTGAGGGGTCTCTCATGAGAGCCAAGTCGAGTTCCCAAAAATGTGGACCTCTCATTGAGGCCCCAAAAATTCCACGGAACATTGCAGTAAAACAAATGCAGCACATACCCGCAGTGGGTTGGCCCAATTTCCTTTTGGAATCCCGCCCAAAGGTAGCTCCAACTGAGTTGTTCCCAGGGGCGAGGCCGATAACTCCGAATCCTAATCCATCCCTTGTTTGACACTCAAGGGAAACCACTGCCATCTGGCATAAGCATCTCGCTTGACTTTGAGTTCAAGCCAGGTGTTGCAGAGTGGGGAAGCCAGTGCCGCCATGTTCTTCAACGGCTACGTAGGAGATCATGCTGGTAAAAAGCACACACACAACGGCCAAGTCCCCTCCTCTCATCTGCCATGGCACAGCTTACAGGGAAGAAGTCGTCCAGCATAGCCATCACCCCTGCGAACAGACATGCCCGTTCTGACTTGAGAGGACTCCTCACCTTACCATGGGAGTCAGATACCACCATAGGTCACCAGGAATATTTACCTCTATGTTTTACATGATTATTTTCCCTGGTGACCTATGGGAAGCACTGGGCTACAAATTCACCTGGACCCCCGATTGGAGAAAGGAGCGTCTACGAATCATGGGCCTTTGTGGGGTCTCTTCATCTGCTGGTGGGAATTGTATGCCGCTGCGTCCCATCCAACCATGACTACTGCATGGAGGAGGTGCCAAGGTATCACCTTGGTTGACGTTGGCAGGGGAGCAAACAATTAAATTTTATCAGTTATGTGGGGATTTCAACCACTAAACCACAATAAGCACAAATGTAAAAAAACAAAAAAAAACACGTTTCCCAACAACAACCATGTCACAGTGAAACACCCTGTGACACAAATCTCAGTCTGCCAGTGACCGGAAGTCTACCTTTGCCAAGTCAAGCTTTCCCTCGGGCCAGGAACCGCTGGTATCAGCTCTGATCTGGCGCAACCCCTACCACTATGGCATCTCCCCTTAGAATGAACTTCCGGCCAATGCATAGATTGACCACTCGTGCTGAACGGGTCAGGACACCGGTCACTCTTGGATTCGCTTGAACCGGTCGGCCCTTTTCTCCGGTCTCCAGGATCGTGTTCGAACCCCGGAGCTTTCAGTTGCCATCTCCAACTATGGGGAGTTGGCTGGGATTTCTTCGCAAATGCCCAGCCATGAGAAAAGAAGGGCGCCATTTTTGGTGGAGTTGAAGGGGGAACCCTTACAGAAAGGAAAAAGGGGCCGCTGGGCAATCAAGTTTTCCAAAGTGCAACACACCTCGGATGCGTCAGCTCGACACAGCGTTTCCTTGGTCTCCTTCTAGGGCCCTACTTGGAACATCAAGTCGGTATGAGTTTTAGTTCGGGACCACATCACTTGGGAATTCATGTCCACCACTTTTGAGGAGGTTCCACCTCTTACAACTCAAATCCAAATGCACTGGCAAACCTT